TGTTCGTCTTGGTCTCCTGGCATTCAGATGGTCTCCTTGAATATAACAGGCAAAAGAGAAAATCACCACAGCCTTACTTATAAACAAAAATGAGAAACTGATTTCATTATCACCTGTTAATCCTACCTTCTAAAATAATGTTTCTGTATTCTCTGCTTTCACAACTACACCGCAGGATCCCATCATTTCTCACCAGAATGTACAGCAATCTTCTACAGCTGATAAGCTGTACAGTCCTGCCCTTTTTTTGACTCCCATCTGACAGTAATCTGCACAGCATCCTCAGTGATCCTGTTAAGAGTGCAAATCTGATGTATAGTAGTTCCTCAATTTAGGCACACCAAGAGCCAGGGGGCCGAATCTGCCTGGCAACTCTTTTGTTCTAATTGAATGCCTTTAACAGGTACGTACCACAAGCCCTACCACTATGTATTGAATCACTGAGATTCACACTTTTTACCTGCCCAGCCCTTACCTGTAAGATTTGAATTTGTCAACTTCTGACCTACAATCCCAATCCTGCAGCTGGCATGATCTTTCTAAAATGAAGATGAGGCCATATGTCGACCTTGCAATGCTTAAAAATGTAGCCATTAATGAGCTACTCCTTGTCTAGAAGTGTTCATTCAGAAAATATTTACAGTGTAACCACAGTGTGCCCGCTCTGTTTCTAGGTGCCAGGGACACTGCAGTGAACAGAACAGACCAACATCTGTGCCTTCATAAAGCTTAAATTTCATCAAAAGAGACAAGTGCTATAGAGATAAAGCACAGGAGAGGAATAGGGACAATGGTGGGGTACAATTTCAGATAGGCTGGTCATAGAACACCACAGAGATGAGGGCATCTGTTCTAAAGACATTACAGGGGGATGCATTTCAGACATAAGCAGACACAGTGGCCATGGAATGCTAGAAGGCTGTCCCCTCCAATGGCTCCTCAGTTGAATACTAATTGTCCCTCAGGAATCGGCTTAAATGTCATTTCTCTTAGGAAAATTTTCCTACCATTCTCAGGAGGAAATGTATATTCCTCCTATACATTCTTCTGTGTCAGATAGTTTCATGATTCTGTCATCTTTTGTAGATCTTGTCCTCAAAAATACTAACTGGAAAAATTACCTGAAGTATAAACACACAGGATGAGGCATTCCTGAAGAAATTCTCCTTTTGCATTGTCCTAATATAGGGAGGTTATCTGGAATTCTCTGGGAAAAGATTTCAGAATTAAAGTCCGCATTTAAATTTACAGCTGAGGGAAGCTGGAAAAATTCCTTTGACTAAGCCACTATTCGCACAATAGTAAAGTGTTGTAATATGAAAAGACATGATAAAGGCCTAACTCCGTGAAAGAACACAGTAGACTCTCAATAAATAATTGCTTTTCATGCAAACTACTCTCCTTTATTATTCCAATGGCAGCTGCTGCCACAAGAGGGCCCCAGCAGTACAGCTGGAAAGGGTCTACCTTCTATTTAACCAGCGACCAGCTCCTGGCCAGAGCTTTAAGTCATGGTTGTTCGAACTCCAAATGAAGAATGGCATTCAACAGGCATGTACTGGTGATGAGCTTGGTCCCACCAAATCCGTTACAAGCAGATGTGTCAAAACAAGAACCTAATGCGGTTGTAGAAAGCAAAGGTCTTTTGAGTCCGGCCGATTGCGATTTGAATGTGAGTTTCACAACCACACTGGACAATTTACCTGACTCAGCTTCATCTGTTAAATATAATTTTGCCAGGTCTCTGCTAGGGGCTGGGTGCCAGCCCGTGAAGTCAGCCTAACCTAACGGACGGATGAACAATTTAATGTGATGAGAGCTGTAGGGAAGTCCTGGGCATACCCAGGAACGCTCACCTGCTATAGATACACGAAGGCACCAGTTCTGTGCTTTGGTCCTCTCAGCAGTGCCTCTCATGTGTTGGTCCCCAGTAATGACAGCCCTGTGCATGGAAGCCAAGGTGAGCCAAGAAACCAGCAGAGGGCTGAATGAAGCCATGCATCTGACAAGTTAGTCAAATTCTGAGGATTTTAAAAAAACATGCCTTAAAAAGCAGTCTCTTCAACAAACAGTGTCAGTAAAACTACATGCAAAAAATGGAGTTTGACCCTTATACCATATACAAAAATAAAAAATGGATAGAAGACTTAAATGCAAGACATAAAATTACAAAACACTTAGAAGAAAACACAGGGGAAAAACTTAATGACAATGGATTTGGCCATCATTTCTTGGATATAACACCAAAAGCATAGTCAACAAAAGCAAAAACAATGAAACTGTACTACATCAAAATTTAAAACTGCACTAAAGAACACAAGCATGAACAGGCAAACTACAGAGTAGAAGAAAATATCTGCAAGTGATGTATTTTATCAGGGGTTGAAATTCAGAACATATAAAAAAACATCAACAAAAAAAATCCAACCAAAAAATGGACTTGAATAGACATCTCTCCAAAGAAACTATATAAATGGCCAACATGCATATGAAAAGTTGCTCAACACCATTAACCGTGAGGAAAATACAAATCAAAACCACCGTATGATCACCTCACACCCACTAGGGCTGGCTACTTTCAGTAAAACTAAGTGTGAAGAAATTGGGGCCCTTGTGCACATTGGTTGGAATGTAAAATGGCAAAACCACAATAGAAAACAGTATGGCAGTTCCCCCCAAAAATAAAAATAGAATGACTAGATGATCCTGCAATTTCAAAAGAATTGAAATCATATTTGTACTCCTCAATATACATTTTGTGTCCCCCACAAATTTTTCTGTTAAAACCTTAATCCATTGGAGATGAGCCTTTGGGAGGTAATAAGGGTGGCCCCTCATAATAGGATTAGTGCCCTTATTTATAAGAGGCAAGACAAAACTTCCTCTCTGCTCTCCACACCAGGTGAGGATGAGAGAAGACACATATCCCACAAACCAAGAACTGGGCTCTTACCAGAGGCCAGATCTGCCAGCACCTTGATCTTGAACTGGCCAGCCTCTAGAACTCTAAGAATAAATGTTTGTTGTTTAAGCCACCCATTCTATGGTAATTTGTCACAGCAAACTGACTAAAATACCAGGCTTTTGCAGTATTTACAATGGCAAGGGTGGAAACAGTACAGTGTCCATCAACAGGTGAATGGATAAATAAAATGTCCTATATACATACAATGGAATATTATTCAGCCTTAAAAAGGAAAAATAAAACGACATACTACAACATGGATGGACTTCAAGGATGTTATGTTATTTGAAATAAGCCGGAAGCAAAATAACAAATACTATATGATTTCACTTATATGAAGTTATCTAGAGTAGTCAGATTCATAGAATGTAGAATGGTGGTTCCCAGGGCCTGGAAGGAAGAGGAAAATGGGGAGCTGTTTAATGGGCAGGGTTTCAGTTTTGCAAGAAATAAAAGTTGTGGAGACTGGTTCTACAACAATGTGAATATACTTAATACTACTGAACTATATACTTAAAAATGGTTAAGATGGTAAATTTTATATTATACGTTATTTTGCCACAGCTTGTTTTAAAGCCTTAATGTACTCCTCATTCTGTTGAGCTTGCCTGTACCAAAATGTCTCTCTTGATAAACACTGTGTTATTTTAGGGTATTTCCTGGTCAAGCTACTCAGAGGCTTAGACACCTTGATTAAGCAGATGAAATATTTTAAAAGTAGAAAGATTAGCACTTCTTTCCTTTGAATTTGGCACAAGTATGTCAGAGACACAGGGTATACTTAATTGTAGGTACTATTCATTCAAAATATTTGTATGGCTATAAAGGAAAAATTCCTTCTGTATCTTCTCTCAATATTCTACTATTTACCAAGAAAATCCATAACACCTGCTGCATTAACCACAACCCAGTCTTGACACTCTATCTGGAGCATCAGGTCCTGTAGTTCCCAAAAGACTCACGGGCTCCATGCCACATGATTATCACCTCCATGACTGTCACCCCACCCCCTTCCAAGTCAAATCACAAGTCCACAGTTAACTTGTGCATCTGGGCAACCAGCTATAAATCAGAGCTTCCCAGGACCTGCTCAGGTTTGAATACTTTGTTAAGATAGGTCATAGAACTCGGGAAAAGTTTATTACACTACCAGTTTCTGGGAGGCCTGGGTGGCTCAGCAGTTGAGGGTCTGCCTTTGGCTCAGGGCAAGATCCCGGGGTCCCTGGGATCCTGGGGGCCTCTGCATGGAGCTTGCTTCTCCCTCTGCGTGTGTCTCTGCCTCTCTCTGTGTCTCTCATGAATAAATAAAATCTTTAAAAGAAAAAAACCTATCAGTTTCTTATAAAAAGATGTAGCTTGGCAACAACCACCAGATGGAAGAGATGCATGGGGCAAGGTATGTGGGAAGGGGCAGGGAGCTTTCCTGCTCTCTCCTTGAGCACCACCCTTCTAGCTCCTCCATGGGTTCAGCAGCCTGGATGGAAGCTGTCCAAACCTTGTAGTTCAGGAATTTTTACAGAGCCTTCAATGTTGACATGATTAATTAAATCATTGGCCACCAGTGACTGCTCTAACCTCGTTTCTCTCCTCTTCCCCCAGGAGGGTAGGGGCGAGGAGACTGAAAGTTTCCAACATAAATCACCATGGTTGGTTCACCCCACAACCAGCTCCTACTGATCCTTTGGGGCTCTCCAATGGTCACTCAGGTGCAGTTGTTCAAAAAGGTGCATTATGAATAACAAAAGACACCCATTGCATCTTTATGGATATGGACCTATTTAAACAACTGGGAGCCAAAACAGATGTAAGAGCTAGAGGAATATCTCTTGTTATAAAGAACAAGAGTTTTAGGAGCTATGTGCCAGGAACAGGGACAAAGACCAAATATAAATTTCTATTAATAACTCACTATCACAATGGCAAACTGTTTATTACAGGGTTCCAACCAACCAATTAGATGCTTAAGTGTGGGCAGACTTATGGCTCTTGGTATGCACTTAGAAAGGAGGGGGAAAAAAAAGAATTTTAATACATGTGTTCAGGAAAAAAGTATTTATTTGACATCTTTACAAAAATATTTAGGCACATAATTTTCATGTTTATGTCACCTGATTTACATATTTCAATCCTTAGTATGGTTTAAAAACACTAAAATGGTCATTTGGTAAATAGGATCTGTATTGAAAAAATACTGTGATAGGCCAACATTTGTAGACAAAAATCAGTTGATCATCAGCATGAGAAAGAAATATTTATGAACAAAATAATCTCTAAAAACATTTTTTGTGAGACAATAAATCTAACCAGTAGATTTCTTTTTAAAAAGTAATTCAAAAAAGAAAGCTTAAAAAAACCCTCCAGTGAATGTCTTTTCTTACCATCATGAAGTGGCACCCTCACATAAGACCTAGGAGACAGGTTCAGAACACAGTGATGGTGCCCGAGGCTCCCAAACACCCACTCCCGAGGGAGGCAGAGAGGCGTGGACTCAAGAGGCAGCACCAAGCGAACGCGTTTAACTTGGAAGAGGGAAGAAGGAATGTCTGGCTTATAGAGCCTGGAGAGGGCTTCACACCTTAAGAAGACAAACCGGGAAAGTGTAACTCTGTCACCATTCTGAGGTGAATATAGAAAGTACTTTTTTCTTTTTTGAAATTCACCACCAAAATGTAAGTGACTTCATTCTTTTTTAAAAACAGGTGGAATCACCCATATCACATAACGGGCACAATTATATCCAGCAGGTTTTTTTTTTTTTTAAAGACAACTATTATTTAAGCATTCCAGAGGCAACAAAGTACAGAGTCACATTTTTCAAGAAATACACCCACTGCCCAGCCTCTAGTATTTAAGGAACACAGATTAAGAATCTAGTTTGCCTACAGTCTCACCATGAAATGACAGTAATAACATTTGCTGGGTGCCTAATATGTACTAGGCATTGTGCTGAGTAGTTTCACATCCATTATCTCATTTATTGTGAAAATTACTGTTTTGCCCTCAAGGAGGGAAAAATCAATTACAGCTTCCTTCATAAGGAGGAACTGATAACAGAAGTCCCCTCCCCCCCCCCTTCATCTGCAGGGGATTGGTTCCAAGACCCCTAGTGGATGCCTGAAGCCATAGACAGTACCAAACCCTATACGTGCTTTTTCCTATACATAAATATGATAAAGCTCAATTTATAAATTAGGCATAGTAAGAGATTAACAACTATCAATAAAATAGAAAAATTATAATATTCTGTAATAAAAGCCACATGAAGGTGGTCTCTCTCCAAGTATCTTATTGGACTGTACTCACCCCTGTGATGATGTAAGGTGATAAAATGTCTATGTGATGAGATGAAACAAGGCGAATGACACAGGCATTGTGACATAGCATTAAGCTACTACTGACCTCCTGATGATATGTCAGAAGGAGGATCATCTGCTTCCAGACCTTGGTTGACTACAGACAACTGAAACCAAGGAAAGGAAAACTGAGGCTGTGGGGTGACTCCTGTATTATGTAGTTATAGAGAAGAAAAGCATATGTGAAATACAGGGAGGGGGAACTCAGGCTACTCACAGAACTCTTAACAGCCCTGCACTTCCCTTAGAGTTAGAAGAATAGCAGGAGTTATAAAAGTCCTTTTAGATTAGAAAAAAAGTGCTTCAGCTCTACAGTGGGTGGCGCATCCCTAATCCGTGGTAACTGCTGACAGCTCTTACTTTCAGATCACTGACTCCTTTCATCTCCCTTCTCTTGATATAGGTCTTATGGGTCTGGCTAAAGAATCACACATTCCTTGAGAGCAAGAACTATTCATGGTGGTTTCCCCAGAGCTTAGCATAAAAAAGATGCTCAATAAATCTCTGTTCACTGATAAGACCATAATAATGAAAGCAGGTCCAAAATCCTGGGCACTACTCCAAACCAGTCAAATATGAAACTCTGATAGTCTTTCTGTGAAGAACCTCAGCGTAATTGACCTGAACTTTCCATGAATTGTTGATGCAACAGGACTACAGAAAAGTTGCAGATGCACGGTTTTTTTTAGACCTACATGCTGGGTCCTACAAATGAGAGACTTATAAAGTCAACAGCCATATGAAGCAATTAAAAATCACTGGACACATCGGCAATGTGCAGTGTGGTCAGTCAGGGTTATATGAATCAATCTGGCATGGAAAAAAAGCAGAATGGCCAAAGAGGGCTTTGAGGTCATTAACTCAAGAAGAGGAGCCACTAGTCAGAATCTGGTTTTCAAAATTCTCACCACAGCTCATCTGTCTCAAAGGGCAAACTAAGGATTTAACTGTGAAGCTGCCTCTCCTTCTCCCAGGAGGGAGGTAGTAGGTCACAGCATTTTTGCCTTGTAAGTTATCAACCTTGGGGCAAAATCCTGACATTCTGGGTGAGGTCAGAGTACCAGGTAAACCTCCACTATAACCAAGACTAACTGAAAAACTCCAAAATTGACTGGCCAGTCTACTCAGTCTCTGGCTTCCCCAGGCCTCTTTCCCTTATCTTGACGTGGTGGTAGTCAAAGGGGGCAACTAGCAATCAGAACACAGACGGGGCGGGCAGAAGTTGCAACTTGCCAGTCAGAAAGTCGAGGACAGGTGGTGGGCCCTAAGGTCATGTGCATTTAGCGAGGCTGTAATTACACGTGGTTTTCTCAAACCTAGAGAGAGGACAGATAGATCTTCAAGGAACCTGAACCTGGAGAAACAGTTCAATCCCTCCTGGGGTTCTAGCCCAACAGCTCTAGACACATCCAAAGGCCTTTCATGATGAGAAATTCTACAACACAAATTATTTCTAAAGTCAAACTTCCTTCCATGTGGCTTGACAAAAGAAGGAACAAAACCACTAACAGTAACTCTCATGATGCCTTTCCACCTCATCCAGGCAAAACCCGGATCACAGGTTTTGGCAGTGGCAAGCAACATTCACAGCCAGAATCAGCTGAGGCCAGCCTGGAATCTAGACAGAAGCTCTCCTATCTCCTAATCTGCAAAGCCTATTTATTCCTCTTTTACTCCAAATTCAACCAAGTACTTGCCTCCTTGACAGAGCTCAAGCTAAATCAGCCAGTGTCCCCATTTCCTCACTTTCTCAGAGAAAAGGGGCAGTTAATCAGTGGCAGCATAGTTCAACAGAAAAAACATGAATTTTTACTTCTTAGCAAGCCACTGACTTCCTCTGAGTCTTGTTTTCCCATTGGTAAAAGAGATAAGAAAAATCATCTTACATAAGATAATATCCTACTCCCCCCTCTGGAATTTTCTCAGGTCAGAGGACCCTGAAAAAAGGGAGCCTTGGGAGCTTTGGGCTTGGAAGCTGGCCTTGAGGCTAATTCTAGGGACCCAATACCACTGGCCAGGCTTTAGTAAAGACAAACGCAAATAAAGGAAACACACGAATATGAAAATGACCTCAATATAATTTTTTGAAAACAAAAAGAAATCAAAATCTTCCAGGCTTCCTGTTAAGCCACCAAAATATTGTTTGGAGCAATAGAGCCCTGTGGTGGATCCCAACCCCAGTAAGTAGAAGTTAGTGTGTACCAGTGCAAAAGTACCCAGCCTCTTCTACACTGACTGCACAGCTGGCCTGTGCAAACTCATACTCAAAGTTCATGGATATCTCTGTGCCAAATCACTGGGCTGTGATGAGTGAAGCCCCTTCCTGCCCAAAGAGGCAATGTAGACAATGCCCATTCACAGCTGCTCTCGCAGGATGCAGCAAAAGAGAAGCTGCCATGCCCAAGGAACACAGAAAGTAGGTGAGAGTATCCGGAGGAGACAGGTATGCTCATGCCAATTATGAAAAAGGATGATATGGCTCTAACACTGACACTGCCAGACAAAGACCAAGCCTTGACAATACAGACACATCTAAAAAGTCTCCCCCCCCCCCGCCCCGCCCCAAGCAATACATTCAGGATTGGAAGACTTAGTTGTATTAATTCAGAGGAGTAAAAAGAAAGCAACAGGAAAAGGAAGCACAGGAAAGAGATGGTGGCCACCTTGCTTGCCTGTCATTTTCACTTAGAGAAGAAGGGCTGAGCTGCATGTTTTATAAAATGCAGTTTTCATGCAACTCTTGATCTTGGGGTATGCATTCAAGCCTCACATTGGGTATAGTTTACTTAAAAAAGGAAAACAAAAAAAATTTTAAATAAACAGAATGCAGCTCTTCACATGCATGTCCTCCCATATCGTAGCACCTGGTTTCACCATTGTGGGGTAGGTAGGGGCAGGTACTTCTAAACCCATTTACAGACTCACAGTTTGTTTCTAAGAGCTAAAAAAAGCTTCTGTGACTTGTTCAGAGTCACAGCATCTTCTGAATGGATCATAAAGTTAAGTTTTCTCTCTTGACTCTCAGTCACAATAGCAGGGGTGAGATCATTCAACTACTTCCAAAAGCATCTCTGTACCCTCAGCACTTAGCATAATGCCAGGTACATATTACATACCCAGTACATTTTAGTTGAATGAATGAATCACATAGATGAATAAATGAGTAAAAGGCCTATTTCCTCCATCCCTTCATTATCCCCATCCTACACAACAAAGAGGGAATAGCATAATTTCAAAGAATGCACTGTACCCATCCCATGATTTCTCAGGGAAGCCAACATAGAAATCAATACAACTTCAAAGCCCACGTATTTTTTAGTGCCAAAGTTGTCATCTTTAGCAAATGCAGTGATGATACCATGATGAAGAAAATGCTAATGGTAAGAAAAATTCAAAAAGGAGAAATTTAAGATACTTGGCTGCATTTCCAGGAGAAGGAAAGCTAAACTGCCTCTCTATGCAGCAATGTTTGAATGAGGAGGCCCTAGTCGAAGCATTGTATATATGCAGCTCTAAAGGACACCTGGATATCAAACTATGGAATAAAATATCTTCAAAACACCGATGTTTCAGTGTCAGCATAAAAGAAATAAATTAAAAAGCCCAGTACATTTTCCAGTTTGATATAAATTAATTCCAATGGCATATTTAAAATAGAGACAATTATAAGTTTCTCTCATAAAATTTTAAAAGGCAGCAATCAATCCTTAGATTGTACAAGTGCAAAGGAATGGTATTTTCTCCATACTCAAGACACCTCAGTGTCTGTGTAAGAATTGCCAGTGTTCTCGGTTGATCAAAAACTTGGGCCTATGTAGTCGAAGCAATTCTCTGGTCATACTGCTCCTTTTCCCTTAATGTCCAGCTTGTTACTGGCCTCTGACTGTTTGCTCAGCTGCTCTTCAGAGAAAGTGATGTAGGAATACACCAGGCTCCCGGCAATGCTGCAAAACAGAAAACCACCATCAGGGAGGAAAGGAAGGAACGGTAAATGTATGGGAGACTGGTGTTGAGGACTGGAGTCACTTTCCTAAGTCAACAGCACACAAAATTAAAACAGACACAGTGTCTTCATCTACAAGAGATGCTCCCTCATCATGGATATCATCCACTGTTGTTGATGCTTTGGGGAAATGAATGTTTGCACAGACCTGCCAGCAGGACTGCCAATTTTCTACCACCTTTCAGGAATATGACTTACTGAAATCAAAAACCTTAGACTTCTGCTTATCTTCTGACCTAGCAATCTACTTCATGGGAGAATTGTGTACGTCTTCACAGATTTATCAAGAAAGAGTTTACCACAAACTTTATAGCAGAAAATTAGATAAATGGTAAATGTCCCAAGAGGGAATTATATAAATTCATACAATAGAATATATGTATCTCATGAAATCATATAAAATGAAAACAGCAATGACATCTTAAATGAAAAAAATAATCTCACAAAACATGAAGTATTGTCTAATCCCATTTTATTTAAATAAACATGAATATGTACATTGATATACATCAGAATAAAGTCTACAGAGAATATAAGACTATTAATGGTTACATCTAGATGGTGAGATCACAAGTGATTTTTTTCTATTTTCTGTATTTTCAAAAATAATAATTCAAGACAAAGAGATGTAATTTTTAATAAGAATGAAAAACATCCCAATTACTAAGTAAACATGCAAACCCTGGGGGAGTCACAGAGCAGGTTTCTCTCTGACTACAATCAAGTTCACAGTGGAGAACCTATCACCTGAGCCATCGGTCTCTGAGCTGGTTTCTGGTACCCCTCACTTGTCTACCACACTTACCACCGGGAGGGTACGTGTGGAGGGGGAGGGAGAGGTAGTGATTATACTTGTCTATTTTCTGTGGCAACCTCGAACCCACAGAGGATACACACATAGCCCCGTTGCACCAGTCACTAACTACAAATAAGCTGGGGGAGCTCACAGAGACTAGACTGTTTTGACGTGCTCTTTGGCTAAGCCTGACACCTGTGACTCTCTTGAGTCTCCAGTGGGCATTTTGGCCCAGACTCTGCTTTCAGACCTTCCTGTCCTGGATTTGGCCTTCCACCTTTTGCCTGACCACTCGATTCATAAACTTGCTGCTTATTTGAAATTAGTTCTATTCTCCTCTAGGATTTGGGGTTCCCAGCTCCACACCAGCTGCAGCAGGGTAAGAGATGCCTAGCTTCTGCAAATAAGGAAAGCAAAATAAGGAAGCAGTCACAGCACTTAATCTTCAAATTGTGACCATTTACTAAAGTCTACTACGTCAAGCATTTAACATACATCTGCCATTGCAAGGTTCCTGCAAAGTACAATATCCCTTCATTTTGAAGATGAAGAAATTGAGTTCCAGAGTCACAACTTGCTCAGGGCCATAAAGTATCCTAATAATGGATCAGAATAAAATAAAATCCATGTCAATCTGATTTTCTCCACTGAAACAACTTCCTCCCTTATGGTCCCTGCTCCATCTGATGTTAGAGATATTGGTCCTTATTCTGTTCCAATCAGCCTATAAATCTCTAAGACCTTACTCTTAGCTCTACAAAGTCCTTTGCACTGGCCTGACACTATTTGGAAGTATGATAAATAACTGCTGGGCCAATATCTGTGACGGTCCATGCAAACAAAGCAGCCTTACGAACCCAATCTTTGTGCCAGTTTCATATCCTTTATCTTCTCCTTCATCTGGCAGTTTTTTCCCCCATTTCTTCTTCTTTTTTTCTTTCTTTTTAAAGAACCTGATCTCTCAGACTTTTCTAGAAACTCTTCTGGTTTTCTAGTGCATCAAGCAGATGATTTCCCTGGTAACTGGGCCAGGATCCAAGGAAATGGCTTACTGGAGCCTTCCTGACTGGAAGCTAAAAATTCTTTGAGGTTCACATGTTCATGAGAGTCCATTTCCCTTTGCCTCCAACCCCACCCCACCTCACAACCAAGCAGAAAGATTGCTCCTTCCTTTCTTTCATTCTGTCCTCTAGGTTCCTCCTCCCACAACAACCTTAAGCATAACAATGCTTTATTTTTCCTGTCAAGACAATCTGATGTTTGTACTAAGCTGATTTCACCTGGATAGAAATAGTAGAGCAGTGTAGGATTGGAGAAGACAAAGAATACTCCAGAATTTCTTTCAGGCCTCATCCTTATGGTGATCCTACATCCTTAGCATAGTGAGTAATGAAAAAACATGGACTTTGTGGAGTTAGATCTTGATTCAAAACCTGAATATACTGCTAGCTCTATGCCCCTTCGCAAATCTATTAATTTCTCTGAGATTCTATTTCTGTATTAATAAAATAATACTATCTATAAATGAGATAATGCATGAAGAACCTGATCCTGGCACATGGTAAACAATCAGGAAATATAAATTCCCTTCTCCGCCCCTCCCCGTCAGCCCTGCTACGCACAGACTAGAGGGGAGATGCACTGTTAGCAAACGCAGGGTGGTATAGTACATAGACTTCACCTGATGCAAGAGGAGGGCACATTGTTGCCACAAGGTTGTTTGAACCAGGGCAAAACCAAACCACAGAGACTGCTGTTCTAAACTCTGGGGATTAAAGAGCACAGACTTTTCAAATTCTTCCAAGTTCCAACATGAGGTAATAATAAAAGATTTTTCATTTCATCTTTATTCCTGACTTTAACATGATCAAATATTCACATTTTCAGAAATGGCCATTCCCAAATCACCTGAAGAGAAGAGAATCCATCAACAATGATCCTGTGTGCCAAGCAGTAGTAAGTTGATGCTTTGGAAAGGAATATAGGGCAGCCCCGGTGGCGCAGCGGTTTAGCGCCACCTGCAGCTTAGGGCATGATCCTGGAGACCCTGGATCGAGTCCCACGTCAGGCTCTCTGCATGGAGCCTGCTTCTCCCTCTGCCTGTGTCTCTGCCTCTCTCTCTCTGTGTCTCTATGAATAAATAAATAAATAATCTTTAAAAAAAAAAGGAAAGGAATATAAATTGCATCCTGGCAGTTTTGGTAATGAGGGTAAGCTTTGAGGAGGGGAAGAGGAGGCTGGAGAAAACAAAGGGAAAAATCCCAGACTAAATGGGGCAGTCTAAATGGGGTGGGGCAGTCTAAATGAATCCTGACACATCATTACCAAATGGTTTGGAATTAGGATCTTCTACAACTTCAAACCAAAAAAAAATTCTCAATCTAGTGGCTCCATAAATATTCACATTAAAGATGATGACATCTGATACTCTGGATTTATTTACATATTTGACCATCCTAAATACTCATTTTTTTAAATCTCAAGCAATTTTCCACCTGCCTAATATTCAGATCACAGTGCTACCAACTATGAATTCACTGAACCCGCTGTGACAGACAAAGCTGGGAGATAAATAGAAGAGAAAGATGAGGCTCCAGTGAACCACAGACACGGTCTAGTTACAATACTGCAAGACTAGCTGGAAAGGTGCTGATTGGTGCCATTTCATCTGCTCTGACTACTTCTCATCTTCCCAAACCATGCAGACATAATCTACATGTCCTAGACCTGTACATATTTACCAGCGTCAGACGATTAACTATCTGTTCTACAAATATATGCTAGAAATGCCTTCCATATAGCAACTCCATGGTCAGGGAGCAAGAGCCTTAAGGTCCAGTCTATCTCCATCTCAACCTTGCATCTGACACATCTGCTCATCTAGCCGGGCAGCTCTGCCTTTCAGATTAGACTCTGTCTTCTGTGTATTCTGCGTGTACAATATGTCAACCTATACCAAACCTATGACCCAGGGTAGTTTGACTTTTACTGCTATTTCCTAAAATACAGTAATTCCTCCCAAATAATTGCAATGGGACCTCTAGCTACATTCTTCCGATACCCCATCTTAACTCCCCATATAGCGCCCACTGGGAAGACTTCTCTCCTCTTTCTCACCAGCCAAATAAAGCAGAGCCATGTTGCCTCTGTATATATCACCTTCCAGAGCTTTCCAACCTGAACAGAGAGAAGCACAGAGGTGTTATGGGGTTGACTGTTGATGCTGACATTCACAAAGGTCTATGATGGTGGACAAGTTACTTAATCTCTCAGAGCCTCAGCTCTGTGAAATAAGCCCATCTGTGAAATGGCAATTAGAATACCACTCTTTGAGGACTGAAGGGAGAATTAAATTATGTAATTTATATAACAAGAGGCTATATAAAACTATATAATCTTATAATTTAAATTCTATACTTCATTATATAATAGGACAATAGACCATTTCAAAAGGTTAGCATACAGTAGACATCCAATAGGGATAACAGTCAAAACGCCAAAGCGCACCAGGAGCTAATATTGCTAAAAAGCAAACAGAAGAAACAGGTTTTGCCAATTGCTGCTCTTCCTCCTCTTCATGGCTGCACATCCACTCACCCAGAAAAATCAAGGAGTCCTAGGTATAGTAAGTCCTTTGTCTTTGGTCATCCCAAAGAGGCCTTAATTGTACTCCGTGAGCAAGCCTTGCCCTAACCTCTATGATCCGCAGTTTAGCAGTAACCCTCATAGCATCTTCCAAGTTGGGTATTTCTCCTTCCTGTGTTATGAGATACTTGAGGCACCTCACGCTCAAGTCCAGCCTACTTCTCCAGCACTACTCTTGTGGAATCCCTTACTCCAGCCACCCCAGAGTACCTGTTGCCGATCCTCCCAGTCTCCCATCCAACACCTGCACTGGCTCCGTGCTTTTGCCCATGCAGAATTCAACAGAATACCTATTTCCCTTCTATTTCCACCTCAAATCCTACCTACTGCTCAAGAACTCAAATAAGTAGCCTTTCCTCTATGCAGTTTCCCAAGCAGACAACCCCTGCCTTATGACATGTTCCAGTCTGGACAGCTACTTTGTGACACTCTTGTGATGACAGCTGTGGAAAGCTCTCAAGAGAATGTAGAGAAGTGCCTCATCACTGCTGCTGTTAAGA